TTGATATGTCATCATGTACACTTACCACCAAATGACGTTACTACGATTAACGCAATAGGAACAATAGTACCAAGAACTCAATTCCAGCAAACGCCAACATCAAGCTGAAGTTTTGAATAGAATAAAAATATCACACTTTGGTGTGTAATGCTTCGATTATGTGGCCACCTGATACTTAAAAGTCACTCAAAGTTTGATCTGGCCCTTTTAAGTTGGACTGGACTTCGGACCATGTCCAGGTATAGTCACTTTTTCTCTTTGGAATACATGTATCAAACTTCACTTATTGCCTTCTTTCACCCAGTCTTTTGGAATAGACATTGTGTACATTGGGGCACTAAGATGCCTTGTATGGCTGAGGTGTCTCAGTGTCCATGTCGCCGTGACTTAATCATGCCATAGGCATCAAATCCACTTTATTTTGTGTGATGTGCATTCTTATTAAGCATTATGTTCTACCAAGTCTCCATGGCATTCTCTAGCTGTTGCATGCATAGTAAAATTGTTCAGAGAATAAAAAGAGTGTGATCAAGATAAGCCGTGGTGTACACATTGCCTTTAAATGTGTGAGCTGCCCTTCGAAGCGGGCCGAAGTCTTGCATCTTCTCCTAGTTCTTGAGTGCGAGTTTTCAGCCATGCTCAACGCCTTTCAGCACCATGCGAGGGGTCTCGCGACATTACACTGGTGGTAGCGGAAAGCCAAACAGACAATGACATAAACTCATTACTGGCTTTCATTGTTTGTGTAAACGACGTGAATGCATGGAGCAATGAAGTAGCTGTAGTACCCGCATGTCTTTCTTCTGGTCCCCGCCTCTCACCTATAAAAGTCCACTTAAACAAACTAGAATATATTACACAGCCTCCCTTCTCTTTCGAGCACCGTCCCTGGTGCTAGCCAGTGGAATTCCATCGGACGGATACTCTTTTTCGGATACTGTAAGGAGTTCGCCTTCGTAACCTACTGTGGGTGGACCCATATGTGGCCTAATCTTATTATGATGTACTGTTTGAGGCCGAGTAGCGACCTCTGCATTCCGAATGAGGCAATTCGTGGACGACAGGGCTTTGGTTATCCGGTAGGATTCCTTGCTTCGGGGGTGGTAGAATTTCTGATGGGTTCCTGGCGGGGGAATTGGTCTATACAGTTGCACCAAATCGCCCACTTTAAAGACATTTGTTCGGCTCCGTCTATCGTAGGACCTCTTTTGCCCAGCGTATGCTTTCTTCAGTTGTCTGTGCGTGGCATCAAACACTTTCCTGAGGTTCTCCTTTAGTCGCAAGACGTACTGAGGCTCATTATCCCCTGCCGATTTCTTACGAGGAAGCAAAATGTCCGAAGGAACTCTCATTTCACGGCCCGTGAGCATCTTAAATGGTGTGACTCCAATCGAGGTGTGAGCAGAGGCTCGGTGGGAAAGGAGGGTGCGATTTGTTCTCTCTACTTGCCCATTGCCCTGAGGGTGACTCGGCGTTGTACGCGTCTTACGGATTCCAAATGCTTTGCATAGCTCTTTGAAGAGACAACTTTCGAAGTTCGCCCCTTGGTCACACTATGTACGGAATCAGGCACACTATGTTGGCATCTCCAACGATTGAAAAAATTGGTTGTTACTGTCTCAGCATCTTGCGCCTACAGTGTCTCGACTTCCGCGACCTTGGTGAAGTGGTCTACCATCACCAGAATATAACGGTTTCCTCTCGGAGTCGTAGGAAGAGGACCTATGATGTCTATGCCCTCTCGCTCCCTTGGAAAGCCCGTGGACATCGGCTGCAGAGGGCTACCGCCGTGCGTGTTGAGTTCTTTAAGCTGGTACATGTGACACATGCGCGGCAAAAATCGGAGACGTCCAATGTCATCGAAGGCCACCAATACCTCTTCCATGCGGCGTCGAGAACCTTCCTGTTCCCCACATGGCCAAGTTGATCATGCAATTCCAACACTGATGGATGCACCAAGGAACCGGGTACTACGAGGCGCTTAGAACCTGTTTCATCGTCCTCTTTGTACCACATAACATCATCCTCTAAAGAGAGATTTTCCCAATTCTGCCATATTTGCTTGGCTCTTGCTCGCCGAACTCATCTTCCCAACTGTGGGCTTGGCTGAGGACGTCCTTAGTCTTTCATAGACTAAAGCTTCATCGGGGTCGAAGTTCTGCGTGGTTATCCCTTAATGGGATGTAGGCTAGCTCAGTAACAGCGCACCTACTGTATCGCCCTCCATGGACGGTGATGAGGGTCGCCGTGATAGTGCGTCCGCATTGCCTTGAGAGCTTCCTTTCTATATTGCACTATAAAATCATATTGCTGAAGCTTCTCGTACCACCTTGCAACCGAAAGATCGATCTCCTTCATCGTCTTCAACTATGTCAGTGCTTGATGTTCGGTCCTCACAACGAACTGCTTTCCTATCAAGTAGTGCTTAAAATGTCTGACCATCGTATAAATAGCCAAAAGTCCCCGTTCCGTTGCACTCTTCTGCTTCATCTTTTTGCTGAGACGTGAGCTGGCATACGCGATCACATTTTCTCTCCCGTGCCTGTGTTTCTGGGATAGGACGCCGCCCACCGCCTCGTCGCTTGCGTCTGTGTCCAGCACGAAAGGAGGAGCCTCGGCATTGAAGTTTGTTAAAGACAAGACCGGTGCGGCGCAGAGAGCGCGCTTCAACTCCGTAAACGCTTCTGGGTGTTCGTTTTCCCAAAGAAACTCCTTTTTTGCCTGTTTCTCTGTCAACTTGTACGGGGGGCGTGCGATCTTGGCGAACCCTTTTACAAAACGTCGGTAATAGTTAGCCAGATCAAGGAAACCGCGATGTTCTGTTTGGTTACTTCCCTTGTTCCGTCTTCCATGACCGCCATCTCGTCTGCAGAAACGTGACCGACTTTTAGAGAAAACTGCAGTTCTCCGGATTCAACGTCAGACCCGCTTCCCGAAGGCCATCCAGTACTAATCGGAGGTTGGAGTTATGTAGTTTGATGTCTCTCCCGAGCAAAAGGATGTCGTCCAGATAGATAATGCAGTGTTTCGGGAATAGGCCACGCAGCATCATCTGCATAAGACGCTGGAAGGTAGCTGCCACGTTGCACAGCCCAAAGGGCATCGTTTGGAACTCGTATAGTCCATTTGGCACAATGAAGGCTGTTTTTTCTCTATCCTTCTCCGCTACTTCCACCTGCCAGAAGTCAGACTTCAGATCCAACGTCGAGAACCACTTCGCTCCTTGTAGGGAGTCCAAAGAGTCGTTAATGTGGGGTGGAGGGAATGCATCCTTCTATGTTACTGCATTGAGCCTCCTATAATCGACGCATAGACGTAGGCCGCCGTCACTCTTTTTAACTAATCCGATGTGGGAGGACCAGGGTGATTGAGAGGGCCTGAAAACGTTGTCTCGCAGCTTCTCGTCAATCGATCGATGTACTTCGTCTTGGAGGGGTGGAGGTATGCATCTCGGGGGCTGCCAGACCGGTTTGGCCTCGCCCGTATCGATTCTGAGATTGACCATGTTCGTTCGTCCGAGTTTCGCTCCCTCCCAGGAGAACATTCGTGAGTAATTCTTCAGGAATGAGTGCAATTCCTTCCTCTCAGCTTCAGTAACCTGTTTTAGTTGAGCGCAGAGGTTGTTTAAATTTGTCCTGGGAATGGCAAGGGCAACAAAAAGGGATTTGCATATTTCATCAGCTTCTTTCCTTAGTTTAGGGATCAAACACTTCTTCTTGGACCATCGGTGGGTTGTGAGCATGTCTGTATCGAAGTTCATAACCGCTCGGGACTGGCGTAAAAAGTCGGCACCTACTAGTACGTCCCAGGCCAGTATACGTAAGGCCCTTCTTCAGCGTTACTCCAAAGAAGGGTCAACATGCTTCTTTGGTACTGTGTTCGTATTGGATGAACCCTTCCCCAAGAAAGGGCAAATTAGACGCGGGGGTGTCACTTCTTTTGTTGACGACGTTACTGGACATCATTCTCCACCTTTTTGCATCCCAAAATTTGGCTACGAAATGTGGGAACGAGTACTGAAGGCTTAAGGGCCTGCAACTCACTGCTACTAGCACAGTTCTTCTGGGCCTCTCATTTAGTAATCAAAAATAAAATGCCTAGCTAAATACCTGAACTGGATCCTTTATATGACACGAATGTCCATCCTCCCGACAGAAACAATAATGGCCTCCAAATCGATCACCAACATTTAAGACAGTAAGATAAGCGAACTATGTCGGTTTTTTAAATAAATATATTGCCTCAGTCCATAGGACCAGGTTCTCAGGCGTCCCAAAACATCTTCCTTCTTCTTTGTCCAATTTTGTGCATCAACTAAAATTCTATGCCCTGTTAGTATTAAGGGGGATAAAGATGCAACAGCTATCTGTATGTGTGTGGTGGTTGCTTTTGTAGCGTCCTGAGGCTTCCCATAGGGTGGAAGAAGGCATAAGTTGGGTTGAGTACATGTATTCCGAAGACGACAGGGCAAATGGGGTCAGAGCATGGCTCTAAGGCCAACCCACGTGTATATAAATTCTAAAGTGACCACCAAACGTCCGGTAGTCACGTATACAAAGCATTACAGCTTTGTGTATGCGTTTTGCCCGTGGACGCGGGAGATGGCTTCCAGACGATGCCAAAGCCCTACCCCTCCTTTTCCTCTTAAAATACATGAATTCTGGCCAAAGTAATGCCTTCTGTCCCGTGAGATATCTCGGGCCACTACAGTAATAATGAGGCTAAGTCTAAGAAGATAAAAAGAGGACTATAAACGAAATTGAGTTCATTATATTTATTTGGCTAATCACTTATTGTCAGATGCAGTGAGTATGATCAATATTACTCGTAAAGTCAGTTCCTATGACGGAGATAATTTTGAATTTGATCCTTCGTACCATGTATTTTACGTAGTGACTAGTAGTTAAAAATTGCTATTAAGTTATATGACTGCTTGAGCAGCATTAGACTTGACGCGCCATTAATAAGTCTACTAACGGGCAACAGGATTGGCGCTTCCTATGTCTTCCTCTGTTATTGTGTATGGTGGGAATGGGGGTCTGGGATCTTCTTGTGTCTCGTTTTTCAAAAAATACGGCTTCGTGAGTTCAAAATGTTGGAGTTTAATTTCTTTTAGTGGGTTTGCTCTGTTGGTTGGAAAGAAAATGTTCAGGCTGACGCTAACGTGATCATCACCAAACTTGATTCCTTAGAGGAACAATATCATGAGGTAGCTGAAGGTTTGAAAGAAATTCTGAGTGGTTCTCTTGTCGATGGGATTTTTTGCATGGCTGGTGGTTGGGTTGGGGGAAACTGCAGCACTGAAGGTATTCATCTTTCCTCCCAACCCTATTTCAAGTACACTTAAAACGAAATTTGTCGTAAAATCTATTGCAATGTTTTCCAAAGAGCCGTGTGCGTATTTTCCTAAAATGTAGGTTTCATTAAAAGTGTTGACATTGCAATCAAACAAAGTGTTTGGCCTTCCGCTGTCGCTGCTTCGGTTAGTTCGATATACCTTCGATCGGGTGGGTTATTCATTCTCTGTGGGTCTATAGCAGCCTTGGATGGTACTCCAAGTGAGTCTTTATCGTCGTCTCTGCGTCCCAGTCACTATCCACCACTTTGTTGTTTTATCCCAGATTGCATAACTCTCTATCGTAAATGAAAATTCATTGGAGATTGTGTTAATTCTAGAAATGATTGGATATGGGTTAGCAAAGGCAGCCATCCACCAGCTTACCGCAAGTTTAGCTGAACTCGATAGCGGGATGCCACCTGATTGTTACGTCATTACCTTGTTATTGTAAGCTACAAGCATGAATCGCTACCACTAACGATAGTCACGCTGATCATAACCAGCATCATGTTCTCGTCTCCAGTGGTACGTTAGACACACCAATGAATCGGAAGTTGATGCCGAAAGCAGATTTCTCTACTTGGACTCCTCTTGACTTCATCAACAGGTGAGATTTCTTTCCCCGAGTAACTTTATTTCATCTCCATCTTAGACTGCTGCTTGACTGGATCCAGGGTAAAGTGCGTCCGAAATCTGGTAGTCTTGTTAAAGTTATGACAATCAATGGCAGAAGCGAGTGTATGCCCTGCACTGCTTAACAAACGCTGTTTTCGGACACTGGTAAAGTATCGCATCCGCAAGACATGCTGAATGGCTTCTTTCACACACCACACCACCGCAGTTGTTTTATGTCGAAGTAAATGGTTCCCCTATTCTTCCTGCTTATATCCTAAGTTGAAATGCGTGCCAGCAGTCGCATGTGTTGATCAGCAACCTCTCCCTTTCACTCAAATTGCAGTTAAGGTCCCTCCGCCACGACTGGAACCAATGTCACTTGCACCTGTAAGTGCTCTCGACAGTACTTTTTGATAATTTTATTTTCACAATACGTACGCTTAGACAAAAGTAGACCACCCGTTGAAAATAAAATCCAAGCATTGATAATCACCTTGAAGGCTAAAGTTTCAAATATTAACACCTCCGATGAACAGTATGCCAACACGCATGCCGCAATCAAATGGTATTAACATTGACCGAGGCATTGGAAGCTAAAAGAGACTAAGGGATTTACAAAGCCTGTTAATCTTCTGCTGGACTAGTAGCATGGTTATACGATTATTACGACAGATACCATTTGGAAATGGACGCCATCCACATTTCTGGTGTTGTTTCCTTTGAGAATGAAACCTCTTGTACTTCTTTGAACTCTTCTTCTCGTTTTAAGACAAATCGGATGTAGATTGACCCTATGAGAAGGTGAAGTTGAAATGAATGAAGGCAGAACTTTGTTCAACGTCTGAGGTAAAGGTTGTTCATGAATATGCGCACAAATGGTGAGGTCTGAGGGGAAGGGTGTGGAAACCAACAAAATGACTAGTGGTAAGACGAATCAGAGGAGAAGCTGAGCGAAACCAAAGAGACCTTTGACCCACCATTGAGGATCGAGTGCGCACACCGCTTGGAGGCGCGCGGATGTCAGCCCCACCGCGACGTCAGACTTGGCTACGCGGAGGGCTATGAGGAGGGGTCGCAAGCTACCGTCACAATCATCGTTTGAGGCGAGGGAATTTAAGAAGCAGCGCTGAAACGCGGTCACTTTGTCCTCTTGTGAGTCCGGCACCCAGAGACGATCCTCCACCAGCTTACGGTAGTTTAGATCACCCTATCCACAGCGGTCATTATCGTACTCCATAACGTTCATAGCACGTAATCTAACTGGTGTCTTGGTCAATCGTAAGCTTTACAAGTTATCCTGCCACTACTTGAAGTTGCCAAAAAGCATGCACGTGTGCAGTTTTGTGATTCTGGTGTTATGCAGAGAACTACATTAAAATTTATTACCACAAATCACCAACTTTATTGAGAAGTTCCAAATTGATACACTACTGCATAAGATTGATAGGGTCAGATTTAGATATTTAAACCATCGCAAATCACATCTTCTTAGTGGCATCGCTGTAGAACCGTCACATCAAGTAGAAAGATAATTAAGTCTATTTTCCAAAAGTTAACTGATAATTGGGTATTTGACGAATTTAAAAACTTCTGGGGCTATATGAGGAGCTGCGTGGAAAAGAAAGTCTTTAAGCAAGAAGTCGGCCAGTTTTATTCCCTGTAGACGTACCGGCCGACACGTTCCGACCATGAAACAACACTAGCCGTATAATTAAGGTGGTGATCAGAGATAAATAAAGGTCGAACGATGCTTACGAAGCGAAGCCAACAAGCTCTAGTAGAACTAAATGCAGCGAATTGAAAGGATTGAGTACCCAAAGGCGTGGTGTCTATTCAACAAGGTAATATGATTGGGCGAAGATAACTTTACGCCAGACGTCACGTGGTTGTGAGTACAGACAGAGAGGTATCAGACCGTAACGATGGCAAGAAGTTGTCATGATTTGGAAGCTTACTTTAAATATCACAACGTCACAGCCCATGGTGAGACGACGATATAGGGCGGGCGATCTTGTTTGCAACTCATTGTAGCCAAATGGAAGGGTCCAGAAGGCGTGCAGCTCCAATGCAAAGGAACCTTCATGGAAGCGCTGAGACCAACGTCCAGCCCAACTTGCCAATTTTTGAGAGACAGCACAACCTGGAAGGGCCTCCTTTAGGAGCCAGTCAAAGTCGAATTGGGTGACGTCGGAAACAAACCATGGCATGATCTTCGGCATGAAAATAATTCGTTCCGCCAGGCCGGCACTTAATAGAAACTCGCTCAATACCAGATCTGCAAACATTTCGGGTGGTGTGTTGTCCATCACTATGACGACGATGCGCCTGTGATCGGCGGAGATGGCAGAAGGGCTCGAGGGCCAGCGATTCGTGATAGCGTCCAGATCATCCACTACCATCTGAGTGGCGGTTTTTGCACGCATGTTTGAGCGTAACTGATTCACGCCTGTGTGTTCCGCCAATCCCATTCCGTTGACTTTCAATGAAAGATCGAATTCATTCGACCAGAGAGAGCACTGACGAAAAAGTAATGATCCTCAGTGTATTGTTGTAAGTTTTTTTCCTTATTTTCTACCAACGGATTCGAGAGCGTGAACACGGATGGGCATAAAATGAATGAAGGGCAATGGATTTCCAGGAAGGAAAAATATGTTCCTAACAATCGCTATTCAATTTAGAAGAGCAGGCCAATCAGATAAGCAATAAAAACTTAAAATCAGGAGTTGTATAAATTAAACAGATTTAACCATTAAATAGAACTTCAAATCTTCGTAGAGTCGCTCTGGTCCAGCTAAAAGCAGGCTCTCCTCCAAACATTCGCACATGGAAACAAGTAATCCTGCGCTCTTTGAAAATTCTATTGCCTTGAGCTCATGAAATAGGTCCAACTTGGGTAAGCCGCTGAAAATCTCAATATCAATTGAAGAAGAAAGTACCAATTTATTGTGATGTTTCTCAGTCGTCTATACATGTAGCATTCCACAAAAAGCCATGGGGCATAAAACCATGACATATCCGCTTTATTGTACCTAAAATAATGGGAAAATATTGATTACTTGGTAACAGTTTCATTATAGATAGCGATATCCACAGCTTCGGGTTCAGGCAAAAGAGGCGCGAAGGGTTTGTTCGTCATGATTTCATAGCGCAACTTTGATATTTCAGATATCACAGACTTGATGTCATCAAACTGCAAGAAACTATGACTATTTCTACTTTACATTGTTCTCTGGATTGCCATACTTGCTTTTGTATTTCACAAGATCGTCCAACGTCTTTACCAGTATAACTGGAAGCCGATCTCTGATAGTGGTTAGGGCAAAGGCGCTAGACAAGTATCTACTGAAGTCAGAAGGGAACTTACGAGTTTGAAGCATTAAGCATGGAAGGTAACGCCCGATCCGGCATAATTATTAAGAGGTAGAGATAACGCTGCTAATATCACCAAACTCGACCATATAAACCGAGAACGAACTAAAAAGAAAGGCAGTTTCCGAGTTCCAGGTGAAAATAACTCACATGAGTGAAAGGCGATACGAAACTGAAGTCGAACAAGTCCAAATGTTACAAAGCCTCTTATAAGAACTATCGATAATGGGCTTAATTATCAACGAAATTAAAAGAGAAATACGCAGATGCAGAAGGTGAAATACGATGAATGACAAATAAAATATGAATTGCCATAAGGGCAAGAGACTCAAGAAGGCAGTAAATTACAGGAGGCTTGTGCTAATTGCTACTATCAATCAAATCAACGGTAAACACTTTGATGGTATGACATCTACACTGGTCGTTCATATGGGAAAATCCAGCTTAAATTTGCCGACAATGTAATGAGGGCACCGCGTAACCACAACGGCATTAAAAACCAATCAAATAAGAGCGGACTTACGCAAAGGAAGCTGGCGAAGATTAGAACACGGTGAGCAAAATCAACAAAGCAGCTTGAAATGTTAAGCCTATATCTTTTAAGAAGATTAATTTCAATGTATTAAACTTTGCTGGCGTAAATACCTCTATGACTAGAAGTTA